TCATTATATTTCTTACCTATTCTTATCTTAGAAAACTCAAAGCAGGATGGAAGAGTAAATAAGTAAGAAACATGGGCTGATTTGGGTGGTGCAAGGGTTGCCCTTCTCCTTGATGCACTAGCCTTCCACATGAAAGGCCTAGTGTCAGTCAAATTAGTAGATATTCTCACTAGTCTGTTTTATTAGGCTTTATACTTACACAGCAGAAAGACCTGCACACACAGACAATGGATTCTACGTGCTATGGTCATCCAAATGATATAAATCAGCCTCAGCTTACATGAGGGAGTGTTCTGTGAAAATCCTATGCAGATGCCAGATGTGCCTATGTGATGCCAGAATTCTTAGTGGGGATGTGGGGAAAGAAGCACCTTCCTCCACCCGTGGTGGGACTGCCCACAGACATTCAAATGCTGGACAATTGGTCAAGAAATGACCAACATCCTCAAATATCCCAACACCACTGCAGATTTATCTACTAAATCTGTAGGAAGAGCAACTCAAAGTTTTCAACTCTCAGGGAAAACCTTGCAGGACTTGTGACTTCTGCTTTGGTATAAAAATATGTGAAGTTTAGCATTAGCTGAAAAAATAACTTCTAAATTACTTGGTGGCAAAAGCTTAGAGGACCCTAGAAGTTTTTACGCTGTTTGGTGAAATATTATATTATATATAATAAGCACACGGGACTCTCTCTCCACAGAACAATATGAAATTCAGCTTTCCTAATGGTCTTAAGTATTCCACCAGTCTAACATTGGGTCTCACCTAGACATACTGCACTTATTTTGATATTTCTATTATTTTTATTGTATTGGGTTTTCTATTTACAGTACTTCAATAAAATAGTTAATTATTTCTTTTTTAAAAAAAGCTTTCCACATGCAGGGAGCTTTTGGCATTCAATCCTGTTCTCTTCCAGAAGTGGGACAGTCCAACTCTGCACCTTCTGAGTTGGATTTCACAGCATCTGTGAAGTGAGCAGTGTGGAGACAAGTTCACAAGAGAGGAAGGGGGCTCAGCAGGAAGGAAGGCCAACTTACGTTTTTCAATGAGCTGGTCCTGAACTCCTGCCAGTGCGCTGACCGCCTAGGAAACCGAAAGAGACCAGATTGAGGAGGATTGTGGGAACTTCTGGGAGACTCCACCCCATCGCCTCCTTCTCAGGCCACTCAAAGAGGTGCCACATTTGGCTGGACTTCCAAGATTGTGCCATAGGACAGGCACAGGACACAAATCCCACCCCACTCCAAGTACCTGCCCTACTTTCTATGCTTTGGCAGTATCTCCCTTGACAGGATCTCGGGCATCTAGTGATGGGGGAAAGCTTCCTCTGCCCCAGGAGGGCTGGCATTGGTCCTCCCTCAAAGAACAGACTACACCTGAATAAGACAAGGTGGGAAGGAAGGAGACTGGGAGAACCCAAATGGTGTGTGTTGTGGGAGAGGGCTGGCCAAAACTGGACAGGAAGAACTCCAATGCTTTAAAAATAACAAATAAACACAGAGTTTGCTCAACCTGAAAGATGTCTAGAGAAGTTGAGGGATCAGTTCAGTGACTTCTTCCTGTCAATAGGGAGGATACAGGGAGACTACCTAGAGGAGGACCAAAAGTTGGAGGCAGCAATGCTTCTGAGTACCAGTTACTGGAAATCATGCAATATGCTTTTTCCACATGTTTGGGTGGAAGGAAGGACATAGGAGGGGGAGGCCTCAGAAAAACAACACAGGCCACCCTCGCCCCCAGCTTGCACTCACAGCAGCTGATGTGACTGAAGACTTGCTGAAAAGGCGCTCGGCTTCTTTGAACTTGCGATTCCGTCGGTCATTCTTGCTGTTGGAGTTCCTGGAAGCAAGAGAGGAGAAAGTAGATAGAAACAAGTTTTTTGCCCTGACTCAAAGCACTAGAATTTGTGGACCTTCAACTGAATATTTAGGACAGCTACACAGCACATTGTTAAACTATGGAACTTGCTCCTGCAGGAAGCAGTGCTGGGCACCAACCAAGACAGCTTTAGAAGAGGATTAGGCAAATTCATGGAGGAGAAGGCTATCCACAGCCACTAACCAGAATGGTTATACTCTGCCTCCACGGTCGGAGGAGGTAAATGCTACTTAATGCCAGTTGCTAGAAACTACAGGAGACGAGGGGGCTCTCGAGCTTGGGTCCTGCTTGTGAGTTTCCTGTTAAGGCATCTGGTTGGCCACTGTGAGAACAGGATGCTGGACTAAAAGGGTCACTGGCCTGATCCAGCAGCCTTCCTATTGGCTGGTGTAAGTCAAGGGCAGACCTGTGAAATTGCATCTCCCCACCACCACCACCTCAAACAGGGAAACCACCCCTCTCTCTCTTTTCAAGAAGAAGTGGGAGGGAGTGTCCTTTTGCAGGCTGCCTTCTGGATTCTAGAATAAACTGTGGCTGCTGTATGACAACAGATTAAGGCCCAGGCCCAGTGGGTGAGACACACACACAACCGGACCCCAGAGAGGTGGCTGTAGCCCCTGCCCAAAATCAGGGAAGGACCACTGGTGAGGCAGGAGATGGAGGGTGGGGGGAGGAGAAGGAAGGAGTAGCTCAAAGCGGAAGGGGGGCAGCAGGGAGTCACCTGCAACAGTCCAGGCCATGGGACACCCCCCAGAGGAGAGCTATAGGGTTTATCACTTAGAGCAGGGTGGACCTGGCGCAGTTGCAAAGCGCTTTGCTAGAGGTCTCCTGTTGCTACCCATGACGCCGGTCCTCTTTGAGGGCAGCTTTTCCGTTTGGCACCCCGCCCTCCACTCACTTCTGGTTGGTCAGGTAGCGGTCCCAGCCTCGGATGATGTTGCCGTACATCTGGGTATCTTCCAGGTAGCTGCCCTCGAAGGCGTAGATCTGACGCTCCAAGTTGGCCAGCGTCTCCTGCAAAAGGGCAGAAGGTAGAGAGGAAACATCGAGCGCGCGGTGGGGAGGGGCGGCAGGGGAGCCTCGCGGTGGGTGGGGGCTTTTGGAAGAGCAGGGGCAGAGAAGACACCCCTCCCCGCGCCCACCCGCGCTGCCCGGGCCAGGGGCATCATCATCATCATCTTCGCCCAGGCCTAGCCCGCCCCTCCCCTCCCTCGGCGTCGGGGGGCTCCTACTCACGGCCAGCTCCTGCTTGCGCTTGACCAGCTCGGCCAGCTCGCGACGGGTGTCCGGGATCTGCGGCGGGGCGCCGGCCTTGGTGGCCGCCCCGTGGAGCGCCGCCATCGCCCGCGAGAAGGAGGAGAGCGAGCGGCAGGAGGAGAGGCGAGAGGAAGGCCCGACCCAGGCAGGCGAGCGGGAGCGCGATGCCGGGCGGAGCCGCTGGGAGCAGCAGAGGCTGGAGCCTCCTCCTTCCCCGCCGTCGGGCCAGCCCTTGCGCGGAGGCGGACGCAGCCAAGCGGCGGTTGGGCGGCCCTCAGGCGGCAGTCCCCGCCCCGCCAGCTCCCTCCCTTTCGGCGGGGCTTCCACTCCGCCGAGCCGCTCTCGATAAGCAGCAGCAGCAGGAAGGATGGAGGGGCCGGAAGGCTCCGCCCGCGCTTCCCTCTTGGATCTAGAAGCGTCTGCCGGTCCCAGTCCCGGGTCGGTGGGCGGGCTGGGAAGGGTCGAGGAGCCGACGGACACAGGCCCACGGATTCCCGCCGCCCTTCCACCTGGGGAAGTCTCCCACCCCGCCACGAAGCCAGTTCACAGTTGGGCTCCCAAGCCTCTGCCTTTCTGACGTTACTTGGCAGAAGAGGGGACGGAGAAGAGTTGCACTATCGCCTCAGTTCAGATATATTTAGGGAATGTCAACAGGCGAGGAGAAGTTCCTGGGATTCCTTCAACGGGGCAATGGGTGCAAGATGAACCAAATATTTTGTTAGGAAGCAGAAAGCAATTAAATTTTGAACCAGGTCTGAACCAGGTGGCAGAGGCCCCTTCTGTCTTAGGGAGTGAGTGATGTGTGACCTTATATCCCTTTTCCTCCAAGGAGTTCAAGGCGGTGCACATGGTTACCCTTCTTCTATTTTTGTCCTCACAGCAAAACTGTGAAGTAGGTTAGGCTGAGAGGCAGTGACTGGCCCCAGTTCACCCAGTGAGCTTCATGGCTGAGTGGGGATTCAAACCCTGGTCTCCCAGGCTGTAAAATGGCACTCTAATCACTGTCACACTGGCTGTCTTTTATCTCCTCTGTGCCAGTAGAAAGATCATCCAAACCTAAGCTCATGGTTTGTACACCCCAGACAAACTGTAAGCCGGAAACTGAGAACGCAGTAGGACAACACATTAAGTGAAATAACTGCTAAGCTGACAGCAATTGTGAACCCACACAGTTGGGTTTGGCATTATAAAGTGGGTCATTCAGTTGAGTGTACATGGGCAGAGCCACAGAACACATTCACCTGCCAGACCAGGTTGTCTAATATGTTCTTTCATGGATTGGTTAAGTCCATTCTTTGCTGCTCTTCCTTTTTAAAAATTGGGGCTGTATGTGTCATCCCAATTTTGTGATTTTGCTGCCTGCAGTGTTAGAAACTGAGATATGAAAGCTAGGAGCTAAATGGCACCTTAAACCTAGGTTATGGGAGCAACAACAGAATGTCTAGGTGCACTTTGTTATAACAAGAATACAAAGGCGAAAATGAATGAACTGCAGCTCAAATATTCTGTTCACTTTTCACATGGTCTAGTCCTTCCCCTGTTCACCCCCCCCCCCAACATTCTTAAGAGGGTCACAATGGCACTGTATTGAAAATAAATATTTTGGTATTGGATTATGGGGCACAGGCTCTAAACAGCTTACAGTGAGACTCCTCAATAGTACAAGGTTGCAGTGATAGAATGGTTTGCCGTGCTTGCTGAATGCCATTTTTAAAAAATACACAGAGCTTTGTAAACTCTACTTTTGCTGCTTATCTGTAATATCACACCAACCCACCTGTTTTTATTTAAAAGTTAAGTAGGAAATAACATTATCAATTTGGAGAAAGGAAGAAAAAACCCACAGCACTATAAACATGTTCAAGCTAAATTTACAAATCCTTTATTTAAAAAAGAAAATAGGGACTTCTGGGAAAGGTGATACTGCTGTCCAAAACCATCTCCATCACCTAAAAGCTTGAAAATCTGCATTTTGGCCCCATATTTACATGCTAAACTTTATCCTAATATTCTTCTAGACATGCACACAACCCTATGCACATGGTACATTTATGCAAACAGGAGGTGCTCTCAGAAAGTGTGGGGCAGTAGGAAAAGTTACTACCCCTACACACAGCAAGTTGTGTTTCCTTTATTGTAAGGCAGCTACACACAAAACTGCAGCTACAGAACCTGTGCAAAAGTTTTCAGAGTACAAAAGGGTTGTGGGCGAAGGTCTCTTCCACCTCCCTTCGTACAACACTAATACACCTCCTGCCTCTTGCTATCAGTAAGACAAAAATATAGTAGCATCCACATTGAAAGAAAGGAAACTAAACTTACTTAAATGTTTTTTGGAAACTATCCACCATGCTAAGTGCAAAATTATTCATGGGGTAATACAGGTGCCTGAGAAACAAACTTAATGCTCCCTTCCTCTCAGTGGTAAGAAAGCCAGACAGAGGAGACAGAAAACTTCCTTTTCACTCCAGATTCAACTGCCAAGGATCTGGAAAGTATATCCCTGAAAATGTATTTTGATGCACAATTTCCTACATGAATCTCAGAAATCTACACAATTTTTTCCAAGTTCTTTTATCTCAACACATCAATAAATCGAACTGCTAGAGACATTACAGAACATCCACCAGGCTTTAAACCAAAATTCTACTTTTTTTAAAAAAAGTTGCATCTATCATTTTTTTAAAAACTGTGCAAGCAAAAAATAAAAGGGGTGGGGAGAAGCAAAATAGCCTGTTTGTTTGGGAAAGGCAATTTTTGTACAAGGTGGTTTCTTGTTTCAGAGTCTTAAATTTAAAAAATACATTGAGAAACTCTAGCAACACAGCTGCGATGTCAGCTGGGCATCAAAAGTGACCTCGCTTTCCTAGCACCTTCTGATTAACCCAAACCATTTGAAAAGCAACAGTTGGCTCTACTTCAGTGCCCATAACCATCAACTGAGTGTGTGAGAAGTTCACAAATTAACATGACTAGCCAAAGGCAGCAGATTTTAAGGCAGTGAGAGGCATCGGGGCAGCAATGCTTCAGTCCACACAAAGGATCTGAGGCTCAGCTGCAGAGAAAGGTTAAGTCCACCCCCTGATGGGCTGTCAGGTGGATTCTTCCTCCTCTTCCTCCTCATCCTCCTCCTCTGCCTTCTGGTCCACCTCTGAGGTATCTGATGACTCATGGAGCAGAACATACTCCCTGCTACTGAACCCAAATTTCAGGACATCCTTCTCTTTCAGTTCGTAGTAGCGCTGAGGCTCAATGCGCTGGTTGTTCAGAAATGTGCCATTGCCTGAGCCAAGGTCAATAATGTAGGGTTTTACCTTCCGGCCCACTGTGCCATCAGGGCGGGTGTATTCCACAAGCCTTGTAAGAAACAAGAGATTTGTACTGATTAACAGCATAATATATGGGAGCCCAACTTCATTAAGATTTCTCCCAGCTTCCAGCATCCCACAACAACCCTGTGGAGCACATCTTAAAACATAAAACTCCTTTGAACATAACTTACAGCAGAGACCTTATTCAGGAAGAAGAGCTATTTAGTTGTGACTGCTTTGCTCAAGGAGATCAGCTGTGGCTCTTTCCGCCTTGAGAAATTTGTAGCTGCCCTAATCTTTAGTGGAACTATTGATAATGAACTTAAAGCCCCATAAGGTCTGCTCTGGTTTTAAACCTTCAATATGCCCCATAATTGCAATTTCTGATCACTCCCAGTCCTCACACTATTCAGCATGCCAGGGATGGGGAATAGGAACCACCCAGTGAGCCAGATCCTTAGACAGGAATTTAAAGTCATGCTCTTACGACTGTTCTGTTGCACTGGCTTCCATTAGCTTGCCAAGTTTGTCAAGGCTGGCCCTTAATTCCCCCACCCCCTGCCAACGTCATAATACTGCCAGATGACTGGCACATGCACATGTTGAAGTTCAAAGGAGCATGCCTTCAAAGGGACTTGCTGTAACCACTGATTGGCAGTCAGAGGGAGATCCTTTGAAGTCATTCTCAAGAAAGTGGTTTGGGTTCAAGCTGCTTTCTCCATAAACAAAGCATTTCCCCCTCTGCAGAGGAAAAAAAATTCTCTGTTCCAAGATTTGAACCCACACCCCTTCCTGCAAACAATGCAAGTCCCCTCAGCTATGCTAGGGAGTTCCTATCAGCACCAACAAAGAACCCGCTTGCAACGGAACAATTGGGGGCTTAAGTTAAATCCTTTATAACCGTGCCTATACCTGTCCCACACTTCACATCCTCTATGTAAGGCCAAATGGGGAGCAGGTGACTGCAGTCTGTGGGGAACAGTTTCATGGACCAAACTGGGACCTGTGCCAGGTTTAATTAGGTCCTTGGGCTAGAGGCTCCCCAATACTTGCTTGGGACTTGTTGCTTGTTTGTCCCAAATTGAAGGAATTAGAAGGGTTTTACTAGGTGATAAGGCTGGCATCAAATTGCAGGCAAGGAGCTTTAAAGCAAGGACTACTTTCTCAATAGCGACATAGTGTGCCAGGAAAGAGGAGCTACGGTCAAAATGACAGCAGATAAGTGTATTTGACATAAATTTGCTGGAGAGGGGTAGGACAACAGGGAGGTAGCAATTACAGGGCATACTTGTCAACAAAATGATGTATCCAAAGTCCTTAATACTGTCTCTTGCTGTATGCTGTATAGATCCCAGCCAGTAAGTGGGGAGTATTAATAGCTAACTTGGAACTAACAGCTACTCATAGTTCATAGAGGCTCCTAAGCAGCTACATATCCACACCCACACCTGGGCCAAGACTTACCGGTACTGAAAGACAGCATGTTGTTTGGAGCAGGAGGGGTGGTCAATAGGGATATCAGCAATGCGTCGGTGCCTACCCAGCAGGTAGGCACTCTGCCTGTGAATGTACATAACTGGGAGAACTTCGTCGTTCTTGAAAGGATACAAACGCCACCGCTTCTTGGGGATCCGTGCTTCCGGGGGCTCGCTGTATTTGATCACAACACCACGGAACGTATTGGAATCCTCCAGAAGTGCACCAGACAGTTCAAAGCTTGGTTTCTCTTTATTCCCTGGCTCTTTGTCTGTGCTGTGTGACCCCTCTGCCCCTGGATTCTCTTCGTCACCGCTGGCTTCTGCCTGCTCCCGGCGCTCCCGTCGTTGCTCATTATATAATTCCCTCTGTGCCTGCTGAACCTGGAAGCGATGACCATCCCTCTCCCTTTCGTGGCCCCCAGGCTGATCCCGGTGGGGTTTCCTTCGGCCAGAATGGTCCCGATGTCTGTCTCGGTCATTGCTTCTTTCCCGCCTGTGGCCTGGCTCAGAGTGGTCTCGATGTGGACGCTCCTCATGCCCCCTCTGGGAGCGTTCATCTCGCTCCTACATTAGGGCAATAGCAAAAGGCAAGTTTTAAAAAGTTCTGTTCATGAGTATAAATAAGTAAAATGGTTTCAGCTTTTCATATATTTTCTAAAACTGTAAAACTGTTATCCCAGCATGCTGAATTTAATAGCCACACTACAAGGTCTGTTTGGAAAAATTAAGCAATTGCACAATCTAATGGCAGTGCTAGTGTTTGTTTAGCTTTTTTTTTTATACCAGTAACTTTTGTTTCCTCAAGTTGTCCATACTTGCTTTAATCCCAAGTGTGCAATACAATACAAAACTTCTGTCAATTTTATCTGGTATGCCCAGTTACCTGCTTTACTTTAGGTATCACATGATGCGGACTTCGGCTTCTTTTCTCTCGGGGGGATTTGCTTTTTTTGTTTGAGGACTTGTTTTTTCTTTTTGACTGTGACCTTTTAAAGATATGAAACCAAGGTTAAGCACATGAATTCCCATCAGCAAAAAAAAAGGCACATGCTAGTCAACACACTTGATCCACTGTGGTCTGGTATACAGCAATTCAGAGGTGAGAGTGGGGCATCAATAAGGAATATATACCCGACATTTGCAGAATCATACAAGGCAGCTTAAATAAAGTTAAATCAACAAAGTACAGAAAATAAAAACGCAACCAGGAAGCATAACAAAACAGCAAATAAAGCCAACAACTATTTAAAGAGACAGCAGGTGACACAAAGACTGGGGGCTGTGAGGGCTTCCTGTATCTTTCCACTGTCTGCAATTCCTCCTATGCTTAACCAAGAGAGACCTTCACAGTTGAGGGGGCATACTGTACTTGCTGGGAGTTGCAGTGCAAAACATCTGGAGGGCACCACGCCGGCAAAGGCTAGTATGTGTAGCACAACTCTCACAGTCAACAGGTGAAACTCAGTTTCCCTAATGTGTGAGTTATCTAATCAAAGCCCAATGCCACTACAGAAGCACTTAACCCACATTTCCCATAATTGTCATTCTGCCCTACCTCACCTTCTTGCAAAGCCAGTCAAGCCAGACTTGAATAGGAAAAAGTTGCCAGGAGACCATTGTATTATTCGTTGTCTTCATATCCCACCATTTTTAGGCATGGAGCTCAAGGTGGCAAACATGGTGCCGGCTACCCTGTGGGGCAACTTAGGTTGAGAGAAGGCAGTGGCTGGTCCCCAAGGTCACCCAGGGAGCTTCATGGCCGAGCGGGGGTTTGAACCCCGGTCTCTCCCATGTCCAAGTCCGACGCTCTTAACCAGTACAGTATACCGACTCTCGGTTCTTCAAGGCTCCTTTTTATAAGGCAAAGGGCAAATAAAGCGAGTCGACCCACGGCCTCGCCCCACCCCCCACTTCCCAGTGGAGGGGGAGGCGGCGCTGGGCTGGGCCCCTTCCCCTCACAAGATACGGGAGCTTCTGAGCCCATTCCCGCCACCCCCGGGCATCATCACCTGCCGGCCCCCGAGTTCCCCGGCGGCGGCGAGTGGCTTCCGCGCGGGCTCCGCTTCCGCCGACGCTGCGGCTCCTCCATAACACCGCCGGCCTCTTCTCCTTCTTCTTTTCCTCCCGCTTCCGCTTCCAGGTCGTCGCCGGTGTCACTATCGAGAAACACTTCCCAGCCAGGCTCGATGCCGCTCTACTTACTGTGCGCTCTATGGCTTGCCCTGTGGACGGAGTTGTCTGGAGGACTAGTCGCGGTCAGACGCCCCCTGCCGGCCACTGATAAGACATTTACTTAACCATGCAGTGATGGCCAAACTTGGCCCTCCAGCTGTTTTGGGACTACAGCTCCCATCATCCCTAGCTAACAGGACCAGTGGTCAGGGATGATGGGAATTGTAGTCCCAAAGCAGGTGGAGGGCCAAATTTGGTCTTCACAGAATGGGTTCATTTATTGCTTTTTCATAACAAACGAGAGAGAGAGAGAGAGAGAGAGCGCAGGAAGCTCCCCCCCCCCAAAGCCGTGTGTGAAGCGCTGAAGCGCTGCAGACGGAGGGAGGCGCGATAAATACGGAATTTATCACTGGGGGAAAGGAGATGCTTCTCAATCCTTTCCGAAACAGCTCTAGACGTGACCCAGAAGTGAGGCTCGCGACTGCGGGGCCACCACGTAGAATGCCCCGTCGCTTGTGCTCGCCAGCCGCGCCTAACTAAGCTCACAGACCTCCAGGCGCTTTCCATGACGGGCAGGGACAGTCGGGGGCGGGGGTTGAAAACAAGGACAGGCTCACCCTGAGCAGGTGACCGCTCCGCTCCTCTCTCTCCCCTTCTCCTCTCTTCTAGTCCCAGCCTCAGGGATTGTTGCTGCTAAGCTGCTTTGCAGGACAGTTTTCGTGTGCAAAGCAAAATAGCAAGAATACCCGCACTGGACTATGTTAAGAAGGATTCAAGCAAGAACAACCCCGTGCTTAGCCGGGAGCGGCTCTTCTCTGCTTGCCTCCGAAGTTTCCTCCAGGCAGCTCTCGGGAGGAACAGGGCAGCGGTCCACGGTACCCGGAAGTCGGCGCAGGCGGCGCTACTCTCACGAACCCTTTCGGCTCCTGCGTGTCTCTAGGCTGCCGTGTTTTAGATGGGGCGGCCGCGGTGCTTTTCTGCGCAGGCGCGGGCTGGAGCGTGTCATGTGACTGGGCTTCCTGTCCGAGCCCGGTCGCCGTCGCTATGCCAACCTTAGCACAACAGGTCCCGGGGCGAAAGCCGGGCCCGCCCGGAGGAGAAGAGGAGCCGCCGCCGCCGCCGCCGCCATCATGATCCCGCCCGCGGACTCCCTGCTCCGCTATGAGACGCCGGTGCTGGTCAGCCGCAACACCGATAAGCGTTCGCCCAAGGTACGTCCCGGGGGGATGGCGGCTGGGTCTGAGCTCCGTGCACGGAGCCCCTCCGCTCACCCCAGCCAGCCCCGCTCCACTTGCCTCTGTCTCCGTCTTCTCCTCCTCCTCCTCCACAGGCGCGTCCGCTGAAGGCGAGCCCGCAGGTGGGGCCTCCGCCGGGGCCCGTCCCGACGCCGAAGGGCAAGACCCCGCCGCCCACTGTAGACGCTACCAAGCAGCCCGAGGAGATCCTCAACGCCATCCTGCCCCCCAGGTGAGATGCAGGCTCTGAAACCAAGTGGCTCCTGGGCAGGGGCATCCCGAGTCCCTCTCCTCCTGCTGGGGCCGGAGGGGCAGCTGAGCTACCAGTCCTGGAGGGCTCCCCACCACAGTAGAGGCCAGCAAGGAAGCTCTATTCTTTATTTGGGGGGGGGGGGTTACCAGTTCATTCCAGGCATGGCAAGCGCCCACTGCCCAGCTGCCTCGCTCTGCGTGAGAAGAAGCCTGCCTCTTCTCTATAGTGGCAACAGCAAAAAAAACCCTTGCTCCTTGATGCATGCTGAACTTGCAGATTTAGAGGGTTATAAACATCCACATTTTGAACAGGGCTAAGAACAAAGGGGGGGGACGCGGGTGGCGCTGTGGGTAAAAGCCTCAGTGCCTAGGACTTGCCGATCGAAAGGTCGGCGGTTTGAATCCCCGCGGCGGGGTGCGCTCCCGTTGCTCGGTCCCAGCGCCTGCCAACCTAGCAGTTCGAAAGCACCCCCGGGTGCAAGTAGATAAATAGGGACCACTTACTGGCGGGAAGGTAAACGGCGTTTCCGTGTGCTGCGCTGGCTCGCCAGATGCAGCTTTGTCACGCTGACCACGTGACCCAGAAGTGTGTCCGGACAGCGCTGGCCCCCGGCCTCTTAAGTGAGATGGGCGCACAACCCTAGAGTTGGACACAACTGGCCCGTACGGGCAGGGGTACCTTTACCTTTTTAAACATCCACACCCACCCCAAATACAGCTATACCTCATGTTACATCCGCTTTATGTAATGTTCTTTAAGGTTACGTTCCGCGGCAACCTGGAAGTACCAGAAAGGGTTACTTCCAGGTTTCACCGCATGTGCAGCAGCACAAAATGATGTCATGCGCAGAAGCGGCGGATCACAACCCGCCCATGTGCAGATGCGCCGCTGCAGGTTGCGTTCTTTTCATGTTGCGAACAGGCCTCCGGAACGGATCCCGTTCGCAACCAGAGGTACCACTGTACTGAGCTGCGGCTCCATCCTGCAGTCACAGGTCTACTCACAGTGCACTCAGATCCAAGCAGCTCAAGGAGTGGAGGTTACGGTGTTCTTAATGCCCTTGGACATGGGGCCATCCATACCTCATCTTAATGTGGATTATGAACCCCTCCCCCGTGCCCCCTTTAATTCCCCCTCCTCCACGGGCATAGCCAGGATTTCAATTAGGAGGGAAGGCTTTGTGTTGGGGGGAGCTCAGTTAAGTATTTTTATTGATTTAAGGGGTCAGCTGCCCCCCACCTGGCTATGCCCATGTCCTCCTCTACATGTTTTTCTCCAACTGCTGCTGTCACTCACTTTCTCTTCCCTAAATCTGGAGTTTCCCCATACAACTGATGTAGCTCTTGTATTCAAATTTTCAAAGCATGGGAATCTCTATTTAGGGAGGACTAGGTATGGGGCAGCAGTAGTTTGAAGAGGACACTTTAGGTTGGGAATGATGGAGGCGCGAGGAATTCACAATCCATGATAAACTGAGGTTTGAACAGCCTTCGGGTTGCTGTCTCCTTTCTAAGATTTAGAAGCCACTGGAAATGTCTCTTTCAGTACCAAAACATAAAGTGAGCCTGCTTGGTCTCCTTGAATCCTAGCCTCTCTCTGCTTGCTTTGGTGTAGAGAATGGGTGGAAGAGAACCAGCTATGGATCCAGCAGGTGTCGAGCACCCCCAGCACACGCATGGATGTGGTGCATCTGCAGGAACAGCTGGACCTCAAACTCCAGCAGCGCCAGGCCCGTGAGACAGGCATCTGCCCTGTGAGGCGAGAGCTGTACTCCCAGTGCTTTGGTGAGTGAGTGAACAGAGCCAGCCCTCTCCGCATGTACAATCTCATCCAGAAAATGAGGGCATGAGTCCCAGGCCCTCGTTTCAATGATTTGTCACATCCTCACCCCCAGTTCTAGTCCTACACCTCTTCCAATTAAAATGCAGTAGCACCTCGGGTTACATTACCCTCGGGTAACGTAAACTTCAGGTTGCAAAAGTGGCAAACCCGGAAGTGTTTCGCAGCACGCTTATGCACAGAAGCGGTCTACCGCCATGCGCATGCATATAACAGTGATCCTCGAGTTGCGAAAACTCAGGATCTGGCCAGACCTCCGGAACAGATCCCATTTGCAACCGGAGGTACCACTGTAACACACTATGGTGTTATTTCCCATCCCACCCTCACCCCCCAAAATACACCCCTTTCTGCTTATCCATTTCTTTTTAACCGGCCTCCTAAATAACTGTAGTTCATCTTCCTAGGAAAGCCTCCCTGATCAACTTTGTTGCTGCTACAAGTACAGCTTTGAAACCTAAGTTAGAGCCATTAACTTGCACGCAAGCTGGAACACCAAACACTGAATAATTCTTGTCCTTTAAGGCAGTCTTGAGTCCCTAGCTTCCAACCTCTGGAGGTGGGTGGGAGAAAGAGCATCAGTCCAGACTTTTCCCAGGCACAGCCTCATTTGCAACTCTTCCCTTGCAGATGAGCTGATCCGGGAGGTGACCATCAACTGTGCAGAGCGGGGACTGCTGCTGTTGCGAGTGCGAGACGAGATCCGGATGACGATTGCTGCTTACCAGACCCTGTATGAGAGCAGTGTTGCTTTTGGCATGAGGAAGGCACTGCAGGCTGAGCAGGGCAAGTCTGATATGGAAAGGAGAGTAAGTGTGGAGGCCAACAACTCCCACCGCTGCACGATCTTAGTTGGGGAAAGAAAAGCACAGTTGCTTTGGGCCTCAAAGCTTCTTAGCAACCATGAAGTCTACCACTTGCTTAAAGTTGTGCAGTGCATCTTATTGCGACTTTGCGAAGGAGAATCATCAGCTCCGAAGCTGAGCTGCCTAGGGTGAGCAAGCTGTGGGAACCACCTGAATAGTAATTACTGTCACACATCCTGCCTGCTTCTACTAGGTGACAGTAAAGAGGCCTGGAGAAGTAACACTGCACTTCTTGTGGCCACTCATTAACCTGGTGGGTCTGTTTTTTGCCCCAAGATTGCAGACTTAGAGGATGAGAAGCGGGACTTGGAGAGACAAGTGAATGAGCAGAAGGCCAAGTGTGATGCCATTGAGAAACGGGAACTTGAAAGGCGGCAGGTGGAAGAGAAGAAGCACACAGAGGAAGTCCAGTTCCTGAAACGAACAAATCAGCAGCTCAAGGTTGGTTAGAGGGGACAGGGGCTGGATTGGTGCATAAAGAAACCACTCTTTCTTGGACATCCAAATTCTGTTGGGACTCCCAGCTCCAGTCGGCAATGATGGAAGTTAAAGTCCAGCAAATTCTCCACTCCTAACAGGATTCTGCGTTTAGACTTTAGGAGCCTTCCCTCCCCATCACCTATT